GCTTAATGTCGTCGTGTTGTGAGCTTAATGTCGTCGTGTTGTGAGCTTATGTTTCCTTTTTTAATTGCGTTGTGTTGTGCACTACTGGGCCACCGTACGAAAAGCTACAAAAATGTTCCTGTGGATAAAAATAAAAATAAAATAAATCATGCAACGTCATTTGACACTTTTTTTTTTTAAATGATAGGTCCTACTCACTTCATTGTTAAAAAAATAATAATAATAAACAATACATTTTAAGTTTTTAAAATCAGAAATACAATTTTATTGGTTTTAACTGCACCACAGGAGGTACCGAAAACCAACACAGATCAGGCCACAAATTAACCTGCTTTATTGGACCAACCTGCATTATGCACATAAATAACTAATTGTCTTCATAAGGCAAATGGTATTGCTTAAAAAAAAGAGGCTGAACAGGAGCTGCAGAGAAACAGAAACACGAGTTGGCTACAAAAGAAACAGGATGCAGGATTGAGAACCACTGGCTGGTGACATCAACCCTCTAGTGGTCAGTTTCCATACTGCACTTCAGCCTTGAGCTCTTTTGTGGCATAAGTGAGTATAGCAGCAAGCACTTGCTCTTGCAGAGTGGCACTGCCCATAACCAGAACAATAAGGCCAGCCACGTCTGTCCAGTCAAGTGTGCCCAATGCACCCATTACATCAGAGTACAGTTTCTCCTTATATTCTGAAGGCAACTCCTTGATGATCTCAGGAAGAGCTTTGAATTGGCCACTGGTCATCCATGATCCCAAGAGACCTCCCAAAGTACCACCTAAAGTAAAACAATATTATAATATAATATATATTAATATAATATTGAGAGATACACAGAATATGATTAATTAGCTTTGTTTGTAAGAGTAAATAGCTATAGCTTTGTTACAAATAACTATATAAAATGCCCAGCTTTGTTAAACGTATATAAAACTGAACTTCTACCTTTAAAGTAAAAGTATCAAGGCTATAAACGATTAAAATAAGTAAAAACAATGAATCCAATGTTTTTTTTTTTTAAATGTATGTTTATAATATTTATATATTTGTAATATACATTGGCCTATTTTATTTATAATTATAATTTATAATTTATATATAATTGATCATTTATTATTATATATACAGTGGTGGCCAAAATTATTAGAACACTGGTATTTTCACCAGCTAAAAAATGGTTTTAAGTCAGTTATCTCTATCTTTTGCTGTAGCGTGTCAGTAGGAAACATCAGTTTGTATTGACATGAAGGAACAGAACAAAGTGAGACAGACTAAATCCAGAAGAACTGTGGCAACGTCTCCAAGATGCTTCAAGAAACCTACCTGCAAAGCTACAGTACTGTTACTGTTAGTACTGTAAGTTTTAGGCAATAAAAATGCTTTCAAATGAGGATGCTGTCAAAAGTAATGTCATAAATAGATTTTCTTTGTCAATTAACTTCTATTAACTAAATTAAATCAACATTTGGTGTGACCATCCTTTGCGTTTAAAGCAGCTTTTGCCCTATAGGTTCACTTGCACATAGTTTTTAGCTTTGCAGGTAGGTCTCATGAAGAATCTTGGAGACGTTGCAACAGTTCTTCTGGATTGAGTCTGTCTCAGTTTGTTCTGTTTCTTCATGTCATTCCAGACAGACTGGATGATGAAGAGATCAGATCTCTGTGTGGAGCACTGGCTGTTGTCAGACTCTTTGTGCAAACAAAAATATCACTGGGTTTTTACAATTAATGCAATTGATGTTTGAAAATGTAAACTGATATGTCCTACTGACACACTACAGCAAAAGATAGAAATAACTGACTTGAAACCATTTTAGCTGGTGAAAATACTAGTGTTCTAATCATTTTGGCCACCACTGTATTTGTAAATTGCACATATATTTGTAATTTATAATATATATTTTATCTTGTTTGGTGTTGATGAAGGAGTAGCCTTATACTGAAAGCAAAATTGGTTGATTAACACTGCACTAGGCCATTAAAGAAGATATTATAACACCACCCTGTGATGAAAGTAGATGAAAGTTCATGGATTGCATGGGAATCAGGGGCATGGTCTTACCAACAGCTATTCCGGCTGGGCCTCCAACCATTCCCCCTACAAAAGCACCTCCACCAGCCGCTGCAGCTCCCTTTCCAGAGCTCTTCATGGCTGCTTTCATCTTCCTGCTGGCCGAGACTTCACAGCAAAGCTGCATAACATCATCCACTCGACTGCTCATTGTGATGTCAAGAGAAACCTGGAAATACACACTAATGGATCATTTGCCCTTTTACACACAAATGAGAAGAAGAGAAACGCACACTGATATGCAAACATAAATGAAGTACTTTAATCAACGAGTTGCCCATTCACATGCAACATCTCAGAACGTTATCAACTATTTCAAATCATTTCATGATATGCTAATTTAATTGCTCACAGTAATACAGCCTTCATTTAGATTTCACTATTCTGCGAGCAAACAATGGAAAAATAAGTACTGAATTAAAAACACTTTTTGGAAATTTGTTAGAAATTCAACATTATTGATTAAACTATTATATATATATATATATATATATATATATAT